ATTCATACTATATCCGGATGAGTCAAGCCTATGCGTATTTTATGTTTCTAGAATGTTTGTATACTTAGTTTGGTTTTCATAATCTATGTTAAAATCTTAGTTATTTTATGATATTTGTTATTTATACCAGCTTACCCTTGCTTTTGCTTTTGTGTTGTATGTTTTCCTGTGTGTGCTTGTTTTCTCTTTTGCAATGATCACCTTAAATGTGTGAGCTTAGGGAGAATCTTTGGTGAGCAGGTGCTAACGAGTGGAAGAGCTGAAGCTTAGAGTAAGTCGTTTCTTCGCTTCCTTTCTATTTGTACAGTCTATATTACACTTTTGACTCAATGTAATATATCTTCTTGTAGTGTAGAAAGGTGTATATATAGATCTTACTATTATATGTTATTTTGAGAATAACTATAACGACAATTTATATGTTTTACTCGAATCAACTGTTTTATAATATTAAAAATGTGATACATCATAAAGTAGTTAAACGAGATGAAAATTGGAATTTACATTACTAGTCATAATCCTTGAAGTGTGTATACAATATTATACATTTTTATTTCCATAGAGTCAACTTCCTCAATATTTGAAATATGATCGTAAATGCAAATGTAACTAAGTCATGTGTCAAGTTGCTTCTGAATCCACTGTTCTCGACTGTTCTTATATAATGTAACTATTTCCCATCATTACTTGTTACAAGTATCTTTTGAGATACTTGCGACTATGACACTACAACAGGACGAGTACATGTTTCAATATCCAAATTGTATCTCAAATAAAAAATTCATATCATCTTTATATTTATCAAGTATAAAATTTTTCTTTCATTCCCATTTTGCTTATACTTATTTTCTTATGATTACAATATCAATTAATTATTTTTTTCAAAAAATAACAAAAAGAACACACGATATTATCAATATTTAATATGAAAGAACATATTCAATATCAAATATTTATAAAAAAAAGCTATAATTGTATAAATTTTAAATCAAGATACCAAATAATATTTGAATAAAAGTAAAATAATTATATAAAATATTACGGAATTATGCATAAAATTTCATTACAACCAAAACATTAATTAATTTTGAGAAAGTTAAAAAATATTTTTTAAAAATTTAAAAGAAATTATTTATAAAGAATATAATATATATATATATATATATATATATATATAATTAATTATGTTTTAAGTCTTTAATAAATGTGGAGACTTAAATTAAGTTTTTAATAAAAAGAATTAATTTATT